CATTATGTCCTAGAAATTGTAACTCATTAACAGAAAAAATGCACTTGTTATTAAGTTTCATACCACATTCACTGATGCGGTTGAGAACAGTATGCAAGTTAGCATCGTGCTCTTCGCGAGTACTCCCCACACCAAAATGTCATCCAAGTAACAAAGGGCGCCATTACAACCCTTAAGAATAATTGACATCATTTTCTGAAACACTGCAGGGGCAGATGCAAGCCCGAAACACACGCGGCGAAACCGAAACAAGCCTTCGTGCGATACAAATGTGGTTAAGTCTCTACTGCACTCAGAAAGTTCAACTTGGTGATAAGCGGACGCGAGGTCCAGCTTGGAGCAACGTACCGCTCCGGAGAGCTGACGAAGCAGTTCTTCTATGTGAGGAAGTGAAAACCCGTCTACGATGATCGCCTTGTTCGGTTCTCGTAAGTCGACGCATAGTCGAAGGGATCCATCTTTTTTCTTGACGACGACCAGTGGAGAAACCCAGTCGGAAGCAGAGACAGGCTAGATGATTCCGCTGGCTTGAAGGCGAGAAAGTTCCGCAGAGACTTGCTCACGGAGAAGAAGAGGAATGTGGCGCAGTTTGGCACGCACAGGGCACACACCTGGTCGGTGCATCACTTTATGCACAAAACGGCGCACACAACCCAGTTCACGGGTGAACAGGTGGTGGAATTCAGAAGGCGCGTTGGCCGGAAGATCATCTTGGACGTCGACTTGAGCACACGTCATAGACGCATTGACGATGTTGATGGACAAAGACCTGATGGCATCACATCTCAAAAGCGAGCTGCCATTGGCAGTTACATAAAAGTAATGGAAGCAGTGCGACTGCGATAGGAGACCTGAGCTGTAAAATGACCTGAATTATCAATCGTTTCCTTGGAATATGTTTGTAGAACGACATGTGACGGCAAAAGCTGAATGTTGGAAAAATGACTATGAAAGTCAGCGGCACTGATTAAAGAGACTGAGGCGCCAGTGTCCACAAGAAATGACAAGGGCACATGGCCCACTGAAGCTACGATGCTTGGCTCGGATGTAGTGTGGAGGCCATCCACATTTAAAACAGTGACCGTATTGGTCTGTGCAGTGCTCGAACGAGCGGACGAAGAAACTGGTTCAAGAAGATTTGCTGGATGGCAATTGCATACGAACTGAAAATGTCCGATTTTTCCGCACGCAAGACAAGTGCGGTTTCTCGCGGGACACTGCGCAAAATTGGCTAAATGCCGAGCCGATCCGCAACGAAAGCAATGCGTGGTTGCGCTTGGAGAAGAAAATTGCGAACGCGAGTTAGGAGCTCGGTGCTGTTCCTGAAAACCAGAATTTGGCGGAATGGGGTCACCATATTGCCGGCTTCCTCGCCTCCGCGACGCAGAGAGGCCGCCATTTTGGCCGCCACGGAAGGACTGTGCAGGCGGGCGTCCATGTTGGCCGCCGCGCCGAGACGAAGATGAAGGATCGCCATGTTGACGCGTCCCGTGAAACAAAGAGTCGCCGTCTTGGCCCCCCGCAGCAGAAAGTTGCTGCACTGAATGCGGAGCGAATTGCTCCAACTGGGAGCGAATAAGCTCGTCCTCTCGCGCAATCGAGAGGGCTTCGGATAATGAAATCAAGGAGCCCTTTTGAAGCATGCGGCAGCGGACGTTTTGCGAGGCTACCCTGCTGAAAAGCTGATGGCGGATCATATCGTCCTCAAGCGCGCCGAAGCCGCACGATGCGGCGAGCGTTCGAAGAGAAGTAATGAACTCGGTGACTGGCTTACCAGGCAATTGTCGCCTTTCTTGGAATTTTACGCGTGCGAGATAATCGCACGAGGCATCTTTAAAATGCTCATCGAAAAGAGCAACAGCATTCTTGAAGGCATCGCCCGACGCTGGCGTCGGCAACGCGATGGTGGCGTCCAAAGTATAGAAGAGCTTTAAACCGGCAGGGCCCAACGCGTTGAGCAGCAGGGTCTTGCGACGCTCGGGCTTGCTGGCGTCCTCCCCGGCTGCGTCTGCGTAGGCCTGAAACACCAATTTCCAGTCCGCCCACGGAAGTGGCGGGTTTCCGGGCGAATGAAGAAATAGGGGAGGTGGAATAGGAGACGCCATTTCAAGCAAGAAGAATGGAGAGGTGCTGACAAGACGAAAATGCCGCCAGTACACTGTTTGAAGACGAAGGCAGAGGCGGCGTAGCTGAATGAAGAAGAAATGAAGCGACGCAGCACGCAGCAGCCACCTTGCTGGGAACAAAGAGCGTCTAGGGTTATCAGGGTAGGTGCGTTACAAGCAAGAAAAAGACGAACACGGAGAACGAAATGGGTTCTTATCCCATCCTCATCGCCATTGCTGTGTTGGGGGCTGGCTGGTCCCAACGGAGCAGAAGAAGAAGACGGCCGACGGAGATGAACGTGACCGGCGGGGACGCCGACCAGCCCGAACACGCGGGTTGGCGCGAAGCGCCGAAGAGAAAAACAACAACCGCACTCCACGGTTACCCAACGCACACTCCTTTTATATACAGTCGCCTTGAAATCCTAGATGCCAGAGCGGCGCCCCCTGGCATCCTCACATGTCATTCCGAAACCGAAACCGAAAACCCAGAACACAACAAAAACCTATCTTTGCACTTCTACAACCAGTTTGTTTTCCTCAGAAACCATGGGAAAAATTAGGCATGAACATTATTGGTCCTCTTTCAAGTGTTCCCTCAGATTGTCGCTTTGCAGTCACTTTGATTGGCTATCACTCCAAATGGCCTGAGGTTTGTTTCGTTCGAGACGTTACGTTTAATGCACTCATCACCTTTTTGACTTCAGTCTTCTGCCGTAAAGGTTTTCCAGCGTGCTTAGTAACAGACAACGGTCTCCAGTTTAAATCTCGTCAGTTTGAAATTTTTCTTTCCAAACGAGGTATTCAACACCTCTGTTCTTCCAGCTACTATTCTCAAGCCAATGGGAAGGTTGAGCAGTTCAACGGGGTCCTGAAAGAGTACATTCAACTAGCCCAACTAGAACAACATTCTCTAAAGAAGGCAATTACGGAGTACTTGGGTACTTACCGTTTTTCTGCTCAGGCAACTACGGGATCGTCTCCCGCAAAGTTGCTTCATAAGCGTCATCCTCGCACAGCGGTTCACATAACTGCTCTGCCTTTTCCTTCTACTTTTCAGTAATTTTCGGACAATACTATAAGGACGAGAGTTTTTCATAGGCAGAAGTACATGAAGAATTATGTGGATCAGAAGCAAGGAGCTAAACCTCCAGTCATTCAGGTTGGCCAAAGAGTCAAAGTACTGCGTTCTTGGGAAAAAACACAAGTATAGGGGTCCGTTTACCGTTATTTCGGCAGTGGGATCCTAGGCATTTAAGCTCAGTGATGGATCGGTTTGGAATGCTTCTAAACTTGTAATCGTTCATTCCAAATGGGAACCACCTTCACGCTTGCACTCTTCAATACCTTGAAGAACCAGTCGAAATACTCTGCCTCGGTCGCACGGTTGGTTTCTATTCCTATTCTTGCAGCATCACCATCTTTTCCTGGGTAAAATGGTATTCTGGCACTGGTTTTAAATCCGTCTGTGGTGCCCAGCCACCATGAAGTTTTACCGTGCACCCAGCACGCTTCAGAGTCCTCGGACTCTTCTCAGGCTCCATATCAATACTTGACTGACGAGCCCAGTCCCCATGCCAGTATTTTTCCTAACAGTAATGGACATGCTTCCGAACCTTCAGGTTCCCATGTTTCGCGTCGGGGTTCTTCATCCCCAGCTACAGCTGAGGGACGTTTAAGCGAGTCATCAGACTCCTCAATGCTCTCAGCTGTGCCTAAGCAGCACGTAAGCAAGCCTGTAGGCTTATCCTCACATACCGAACCTGCTTCTCGGCAAGGGAGCACTTCAGAGCGCAATGAGCATCGGCGTTCTAAGTGTTCGCGTAAGAGACCGTCCAGGTGTAAGGACTTCGTGTCCCTAATTTTTCTTTCTTACTCGTATGTTGGGATCTATATTATACGTGTGCATTGTTGTGTGTATGTATGTTGTACATCTAGTTATTGTACAAGGTTATAAGGGATAGACTGGTATGCTGTGATTTTTTGTTGTATGTTGTCTGTATAAGTGCTTTCAGCCATGGTGTGCTATGTACATAGCTATTTTTTTTTCTCCTTCTAATGCCGCTTCCCTCGTTTTCAATTGGTGTCCTTACAACAGAAAGAGGGGGGATGTTAGGTTGTAAACACAGTTCTATGTGTCATAACATTCTTCTAAAATTGTATAAGGTTAGTTACTTGTGTGCCATTAATCATTGAATAAGGATCTCAGAGCCACATGTCCTTTTCATTCTAGAAGGGGGGGGGGGGGGAATGATGTGGTGTGTTTCAGTTTCAGTTTCATAGTTGCCAGTTTCGGTTTTATGTAAAGTATTTTCTCCCTCAGGGGGTGCTACTCTGTGTATATATGCGCGGCGTTGTATATAATAACAGAGTTCCTGCTTGGCTAACGGCTGCTCCATACTTCTGGTCGGCCGGCGGTTCGGCGCCGCGCCCTGTGTTCTCCGTGCGGTGCGTCCGCCGCACGACGCTACATAGAGTCTCCTAATCTTCTTCATCAAACTCTTTACTGTTGAGGGCATTGGCGATCCCAAAGTCTGTCAATGATTTCCTGCAAGTCAGCAAAAGACTGTAATGCGTCTTGCAGGAGGATCTCCTTGGCTTCAGACAGAAGTTGGGTTGTGGCACCACAAAGGGCGCCTCAATGTCTGGGAATCCTGGGATCACCCTGGTTTCCAGCACCAATAATATTGAGACAAAGAAGAGCTCGACGCCTGCCTTGCCGTGGTTGAATGCTTTTTCTTTTTATTCTGTTCTCATGAGCAGCCCCACCAACATTTTCCCGCAGTAGATTCAACAGGGGTCAAAATGCTTCATAACAGTGACTTCAAGCACTTTTCTTTTGCAAGATAAAATGAAAACTGGATTTTCACTGGAGATAGTTTCATCTTGTTGCAGGGAGTGACTGTGTCTCCCTGGAGCAATGTGGTAGCTTCCTGTGATGCATCTGGCAAGGTAGCCGCCGTCTGTCTGCCATACCTGTCTTCCAACTTGGATTTCGTTAAGAACCACACCAAGATGCGCCTGGTATGTTCACTTCGTTTGTTCCTGTCTCACAGCAGTGCGAGTTAGGGTTGTGGATTTGGCATGCTTCAGTGTTCATGCAACACCAAGTAAGTGCTAGCGTGGCACTTAAAGTTGTAAAATACAAAGTTTTTGTTCCACTTACCTATATTTTCAGGTGTTAATACAAGCCAGTCATTTATGAAGGGAGTACAATTAAACAAAAGTTCTATGCAGTATTCAATAAGGCACTGACATTACCTCATTGTGTGCAACACTATCATATTCACGCATTAGCAGGTCAAGTTTTAATGTAGGTCGATTCCTCTAAATCGGGCAAAAATAAGAAAGAAAACATGAGCAGGTTTCACAACAGAAACTTAAGTTGTCGCTGCATGACTGCACATGCTGACTCATCATCATCAAGGCAACCCTCTTCTTGTATTTCAATACCTCGGTCCTGCTGGTCTTGAAGTGCATTCTCGGCATACTTATTTCTCGAGAACCGAAACCACATTTTTGTGTGACAACTCTGTGTGTCATTAGCAGAAACTGATCACGTACTTCACTCGTGTGTGTTGCTAGTTACATATTGTAACTTGCATTACCTCTTTATTCAAGAATGGCATAAAACACAGTCGACATTCAGGGTACAGTGACTGCCACACAAAATTGTGAACATAGGCTTTCGTTACTGCCATCACTGCTTGCAAAATAAATTTCAGATTTGGTTGCAAAATTTGGGGATGCAGGATTGTTATACAAGTAAAAGTAATAATTCATGATCAGTTTTTCTCTGTTCCTGTGTCTTTGTTTGGCTGTAGCCATTGTTTCAGGCCACGCTGGTACCACTAGGAAAGGAGCAAGTGAAGGGCTCAGCACAGCAGGGAGACCACTTACTGGCCAGTGAGCAGTATGGCATCTCCTTTGAGGACAACCTCCTGGTAAGACACTGTCAGAGCATTTCAGTTTGACACTCTGGTCTGCTCTGGTCCAAGTAGGGCGCAATGCATTGCACCAGGATTTCGACACACCGCCAATCAATCGCTGAAGGCGAGAGCATTGAGCATTCCTTTGCCGGAGCCAGGCAATGTGCTGCCCCTCTTAGGCTTTTTGATGTGAAGTAAAATTTATTATTTATTTCTTTATTTATTCATGGTACAGGGCAAAAGTACATGCCTGATCAAGATACCAGCACCATAGATAGACTAAGAGAACAACTACAAAAGTAGTTGTAGCATACATAATCAGCGACACGCAGCTACTTTCTTAACACACATGCAGCATTTTCTGAATGCAAGATAACGAGGCACAATTTATCAATATATTATATGATGTAAGCAGGTGAACGATGCAAGAACGTCACATTGCGAAGAGAAAATAGCTAGAAATGCGAAAAACAACCTGAGAAGAGAGTGTCAGATCGCTTTATAAATACAAAGAAAGATTACTTTTCTTAAGTGAGAGTCATTAATGATGCCTAATTGTTTAGCAACCTGCCAACTCTTACAAATTTTGCATGTAATGTATGACTTTCGACTATGTTTATGCTTTTACGAATCTTCCCTGAATTTTAACTGATAATGTCTTATTTCTAATAAAATAAAGTTAGAAATCTATTCAAACAGGGTTGCCTTCATGATTAGCTGCGGGGATTCGCCACAGTTAGTCACAGAGCCCATGAAAATGACATTATGGTATGTTGCACCGCTATGCGAGAATAGTATGTACTGTTGTCATCAGCAGCAGCAGCTTGATTACAGCCGAGTGGCTAGACTTAGGAATGGAGGAAAGATATTTTTTTCTTCAATGATTTAGGCTACTTCTGTCATTTTTTCGGCGAATGGCTACGAATTTCATGTTCATACTGCCTCAACGTATCCGCAGTCATGTGGCAATGGGCACTCTGCTCAGGTCGGTGGTTAGGACTTCACTGTTTGTGTTGATTATCGGCTGACTGGCTGCTGCATCCAACACAGTAGAACTGCTTTGTCTGATGATACATTTGACTGGTCATTCCAGAGTGCTCTATAGGCTTGCAAAAGATTATGTAAAATGAAGTAAGCACGTGGTTGGTGCACACACACTGTGGCTATCGCTTGCCAGAGCAGATGAACTCAGGCTCTCTTGGTATGGCAACCACACAGAACTCTGAAAGAGCATGTGCATCTTACCCATTCAAAGTGATTTTCTGCAAGCACAGCACGCAAAAATGCGGCAAATGCGATTAGAGATAGCAAAAATAAACTGATTTGAAGACACGTGCAGATTAAAAGCGGAACTATCATTTGATGCAATCACCACAGACCAAATTGCGTTGGCAGAGATGCGATCATCGAGAGACTAAACGAGCTCCAAAGGTGCGCAGTTCATGAGCCTTAGATGAAAGGCAATAAAGTCGTAAAAAAGGCACAAAGCATTTCAGTGTTTCTGTCAATTTTTGCTTATCACTTGTCATGCTCGTTCGTGTTCGTTAGGCCTCGCTCCCCGAATCTCCCGCCACTCACGTCCAACCACAACACCGTCTGTGCACACACCATCCCGCACACAGGCCGGATGTCCACTGCTGCCACCACGCCCAGGGGGTGCCACATACCCCCATCACTACGAATAGATGTCCTCATAGCCCGTCCCCCCCTTGAAGCGTGAAGCTCCCCGCTGACCATGGAGAATGGTATTTGACGAGCTGGTCGGCATGGGCCTCACCACAAGCTCTCCCAGTCTGTGGGTGGACGAGCTTGAAAGTGTTTGACCAATACATCTGCAGATGCGGAATGGACCATTTCGCCTTGGTGCCAGCTTCGATGAGATGCCACTTGCAGCGTCACTGACTATGTGGGTTTCTCGCAGGACAAGGTCACCTTCCTCCAATGTCGTGGCTCGGCGTCCCTGGTCATAGTGCTTCTTCTGGGCACGCCAAGCATGTTGCTGATGCTGCCGTGCAGCATTCATGACCTCTGCCAAATGGGACTGAAGTTCTGCTGCGAATGCGTGAGAAGATGATACCGCAGGCTGAGCGCCTTGCTTGTCTTCGGTGGGTTGCCAGAGTGTTCGGAGTTCACGGCCATAGCAGAGGAGGGCTGGGGTGTATCCAGTAGCAGCACTTACAGCGGTTCGCATTGCAAAAGCAATCTCGGGAATGTGTTGGTCCCAGTTTTTGTGCTCATTGCAGTATGCACGAATGCACTGCTTTACTGTGCCATTGTGCCACTCGACCATCGGTCCGGCTGGTCTGTAAGGCACCGTGTGGCACTCCGAGATGCTCCATCGCCTAAGCAGGTTCTTCCATAATTTACTAACAAAGAGCTTCCCGTTATCGCTAGAAATAGCAGTAGGTACCCCGTGTCTGCAGATGAGCTCTTCCACACAGCTGGCTATCTGCTGTGTTGTTGCTGCACGAAGAGGGAAGAGCTCAATGAATTTGGTAAATTTGTCAACAATGACCAGCAAGGGCTTGTGCCCCCGAGGGCTGGTAGGCAACGGCCCTATTAAGTCGATACTAAGTTCTTCCATTGGTGCTGCAGGCCATTGGCTTGCCATAAATCCTTGAGGTTTGCAACGCTGTGCTTTGGTCCTTTGACAGACTGAGCAACTGCGGACATACTTCAATGTGTCATTGCTCATGCCCAACCACACAAACTTGTCTCTGATGCGCCGCAGTGTCTTGTAGAATCCTGCATGGGCACTTGTCGGGTCGTCATGGGCCATCTGCAGGAGCAAGGGGCGAAGGTGAGTAGGCAACCAGGCTACTGTACGGTCGCCGCGACATTGCACCAAAAGTCCTGATAGCTCTAGATGAGACGTGGATGCCAGGTCCTCCTGACGACGGGTTTCGGCAGTGCCTTTGTGCAAGCACTCTCCCTGGATAGTTCTCGTTATGTCACGCAAAAGAGCATCACGTTGTTGTTCCTGTGCTAGTTTTTTCGCACAGTTTATAACACTGAGGTCCTCAGTGGTGGTTGGCTGGCAGGTTTCAAACGTGACAGAGCCTTCGTCAGTGTCCAAGTTAAGTGGCAAAAGTCTCTCAGGCAGGCTTTCAGCTGCTGTCTTGAAGTTTGGCTGAACAGATGCCCAGCTTAGGGCATCAGCACGAATGTTGGCCTTACCACGACGGTGCTTAATTTTGCACTGAAACCCTTGAAGGCGTAGCACCCAGCGCCGCACACGAGGAGATGCCTGCTCAGTGGTGAACATCCAAGCCAATGACGCATGATCACAGTGCACTTCGAATTCTGTGAATTCCAAATAAGATCGGAATTTTTCTACAGCCCATACGAGGGCCAAACACTCCCACTCTTGGACTGTGTAATTATGCTCCACATCCGACAAGCCTCTGCTGATGAATGAAATTGGCTTCAAAATGTTATCCCGACGTTGCAGCAGCACTGCGGCGATGCCAACACTGCTGGCATCTGTTTGAACTACAAATGGTGCATTGAGGTCTGGCAAGCTCAGAACTGCATCTATTGCCAGCCTTGCTCGAAGAGTCGCAAATGACTGTTCTTCAATGCTCGTTCAGTGCCATTTCTGTTGCGTGTTGAGCAAGTTGGTTAAGGGCTTAGCAGTGAAGGAAAATTGTGGAATAAAGTTCCTGTAATATCCAGCCACGCGCACCAAGGTGTCCAACCGGCATTCGGCGCGGAGACGACTGCTGCGGAGTGCTGGGGCACTGCCATTGCGTCAGGCATGCAATGCGCCGAATATGCCAAGTCGCACGCGACCTGATTTGTTTTGGGTGGAGGAGGCCGATATTGTAGCCGGCGCCGCACTCGCTCCATCAGGCCATCGGCCGCATCCGCCAGGGCCTTCAAGCTTGAGAAGGTGGACCCCGCTACCAAGTCCTGCAGCTGGGGGTGCATTCGGCGCAGCACTCTGTCGACCTTGACGTCGTCGGCAACTTTTTCTCCGATTCGGTCATATAACTCGGAAATAACATAAATAAATTCTTTCAAGTTCTCCTCCGGGTGCTGAGTGCGTGCCTCCAACTCTTCCTTCAGGCGCTTCTTTTCGTCGGCCGACGCGAATTTCCTTCGGAAAGCGGTGACAAAGGCATCCCACGTAGCAAAGGGACCCGCGAAACGATGCCACAATTTCGCGCTGCCGTCAAGCGCCGCGGTAAAGACGCGGCGAACTCGGTCCTCCAGAGCTATGCCGTTAATCAGGCAAAAATTGTCCACTTTGTTGAGGAATTCCTCCGGGTGTTGCACATCCTGGAAGCCCACGAACCTAGGCAACGTGTTCGCAATGGGCGCTGTCCCCGTCGCCGACATTTGTGTAGCCGGTGGTCCAACAAAGGCCGGTCGGCGCTCGTTGCCTCCGGGAACCACGGGAGCAGCCATTAACGCCTGCCGCAGCTCAGATGCTATGCGTTCGCGTTCGATAGCCGATCCATTTGTCTGATGCAGCATAAACTGTACAAATTCGTCGGGAATTTCAGTCGGTCCAATCCCGGACGAGCCCCCACTTGTCATGCTCGTTCGTGTTCGTTAGGCCTCACTCCCCGAACCCCCGCCACTCACGTCCAACCACAACACCGTCCGCGCACACACCACCCGCACACAGACCAGATGTCCACTGCTGCCACCACGCCCAGGGGGCGCAACATACCCCCATCACTACCTATGGATGTCCTCACAGACTACGGCGGAGTGAACTTGCACACTTTTGTACTTTTGTTTTCAGGTGGCCTAGATCAAAGCTTTGATGCACGCATTCGGGGCAGCCAGTGTCCCTTATTAGTTCATTCACATGTGTTCCTGAGAGACATATGGGAGTTCTTCTGACAAAATACATGTTTTGTGCTTATATTCTAGTTTTAAAAAAATGTTGCTCATTTTTTTGATGATGCGAAATTTCTGACTATCCAAATATTTTTGCTTCCCTTGAGATTCGTATCACTGAGTTTCTACTGTAGTTGAGAAACCTGACTTGTGTTGTTTATAAG